GCAGCCATGTAGCACATGGCTATGGGAACTCCACATGTGTGCTCCAGGAGGAGTCTGAATATTGCACACAGCAATGCACTGAAGCTAGAAACACATGCTAAGCTAACCAGATGCTGGACTGGAGTACTTTAATTTAGAGAAGAAACTCTGGACACTGCCTTTTGTGTTGGCCCTATTGAAGATATTATTAGACCTTATCCATGGAGAAATGGATGGAGATGGGACATTGGGAAGTGAGAAGAGTAACTTGCTTAATTTTGCATCATCAATAAAATTCATCACAGATCCACATCCTACTGTGTGGGTCTCAGGAAATTCTTTTCCTACAGACACCCTAAGAACTTGTTTTCCACTGATAATATTGTTACTTAGGAGTTTACAAGGACTTTAGAAGCTCTATGCCAGGTAGTATAGTAGGGATATATATATATATATATATGAATTATTTCTATTATCTCACAATGTTTCACTGATTATTGGTAACTTCAGTAAAATAGTAGGGATATATATATATATATGTATATATATGTATATATATATATACATATATATATATATGAATTATTTCTATTATCTCACAATGTTTCACTGATTACTGGTAACTTCAGTAAAATATATACCTTATCAAAGAGCTTTATAAATATCAAATGAGACAGTATGACAAAGCAATTAGTAAAACACCAAGCAAGATAAAGACATCTGCAATGATCAGTGATAGAATGAGTCAATGATCAATAAGCCAGGAGGGTCATTGGCTAACATGTATTCATCCAGAGACAAATGACCAGGATGGTTGATATCAGGGGTGAAAAAAATCACATTAACATATATGCTGCTAGGTTCCAAAATCTGAGAATTGTCATGGTATAAGGCCTGCCTGATGTTGCTTTAGGTTTCAGAACCATGAGCACCGGTCCAAATTTTCTAGGCAGTTGATTGAAGATCAATGTAAAGTTTCAGAATTTTGAGCAATTATAGCTGTTCAAAAAAGTGGGGTGATGTAAAGAGGAGATTTAGTGTCAGCTGGACCTGGATTTATATCTTGTCCCTAGCTGTACATATTTGGGTAGGTACACTTCTAACTGTGTATACCTAGTGTGCTAATTAGGGATAAATGCATCTGTATAGATTGTGGAATAAGTAGATATCATATGCAAAGCCCTTAGGAGAGTGTCTGCCATGAAATTTATATTAAAATTGAATGAATTAGTTTTCCAGGATGCAAAGCACTCAAAATGAACTGAGATGACCACTAGTCAAGAAAGCTGTATGAGCAGAATCTACATTGGTCTTGTTCACAATTATATCTGGAATCCTAGTACCTAGTACTTTCAACTTAATATTTTTATAATGCATAAAACAATTAAAGTGATATCTGTCCCTCCCTGGTGTGGCTCAGTGGATTGGGTGTTGTCCCACAAACTGGATGCTTGCCAGTTCAATTCCTGGTCAGGGCACATGCCTGGGATTCAAGACAGGTCCCAGTTGGGTGTATGTAAAAGACAGCTCATCCATGTTTCTCTCCCCCTCTCTCCCTCTCTCTCTCTCCTACTTTCTCTCCCTCCCTGCCCCTCTTTCTAAAAATAAACAAATATAATTTTTTTAAAAAAGGGATGTCTGCATTGAGTTGAGCTTAAAATGGATTATCTTTGTGTGATTCATTACTTGTTTAAGGATGATTAATTTTTAGATTTGCTTGGCCTGACTGGTAAAGTGGAAAACAAACCCCAAAGAAAGAGCTTCATCAACTAGATACACCATTGTTTCTTAAAACATAGCTGCAAAACTTCACCACTGTCTTTACTGTGAGCTTCAGACTTAAGAGCACTTGAGGTTCTCAAGTTGTGTTTTATGTGAGTAGCTCTCAAAATTCGATGTACACTAAAATCGTCAGTGAAGCCTTTAGAAGTCTCCATGCAACATCACATCCTGGACCAATTAAATTAACTGAGGGAGGGACTCAAGCAGCCATATTTTAGACTCCACAGGTAATTTAAATGTTCATTAAAAATTGCAAACCAGAACCTCAGGATTTGCAGGATGCCAGGTCCTATGCCAGGTGTTGGGAAAGAAGCTGCAAAACATCATGCTTAAAAAGCTGTCAATTCCCCCATGTGTTATATCCCTGGTACGTGCTACAGGTGTCATCTATTACCATACCCCTGGCCATCCAGGAACTAGAAGATGTGTTCACAGAAGTGGGTACAGATAGATCCACCTCAAATACAAATTAAATATCTTTGTTAAACAAATGAAGATTAATTTTATGTATTTTTGCCTGAGGATCTTACAAAAGCATCCAACTGCTGAATACCCAGCATCCACAGGTCATAGAGGCAATCATCTATGTGAATTTACTTGAGAGGTTTTGAGAAAAGTGTCTTTGATCTCAGCATTTCTTCATCTATTTCTTTGTAGCATATCATCCAAATACTCAGTGGCTTAAACAAACAACAACACATTTCATTTACCAAATCAGAAATTTGAGCAAGACTCATGATGATAGCTCATCTGTGTTCCCTTGGATTCAGTTGAAATGCTCAAAGGAGCTAGCTGTCTATGGATGCTGGCCATTAGCTGGCACTTCAGCTCCAACTGTGGCTCTAACACTTACACATGACCTTCTGTCGAAGCTGAATATCCTTGTTACAGGGTGGCTTGGCCAAGGGATTCATATTTAAAGAGAGAGAGCTGGGTAGAAGCCATAGTGCCCTGCCTTTTCCAGCCTAACTTCTAAAGTCATGCAGGTTATATCTGTGTTTTATTAATTAAAAGTGAATCACTAAGGTTGGCCATATTGAAGAGCAGAAGCATTAGACTTGGTATTTTGACGGTAGAAGTGTCAAAACAAATTGAAAAAATGCTTTAAAACCACCATACTGACCTGTTCACAGTTGGCTACCTAGCTACCTGTTTTGGAGTACTTTTACTCTCATGCCCACAAGATTGTGCATTCAGCAAAACTTCTTGATCTTCCTGACCAAATGACTCATATCTGTAAAAAGATAAGCTAAGAATTTAGAGCATTGTCTAGTTTGAGACAAATGAGCGAGGTATCTGATTTTCTTAGACTAACAAAAAGGCTCATGTGGAAATTCTATGATCTACATTGGTATTCAGCTTCACATCCTTATTTCTTAACTTCCATGCCTTTGTGGCAAACATTTTGCTTGTGTTCTCTGAGGGCAATGGAATTTTCTATTTCCTTAGGGATTTTAACAAGTAGGCTGATACCCTGAGGCAAGTAAGTGAACTTCTAGATAACTTACACTGATTTTCTTAGGAGTCAGTGTTAAAATTTTACCAAGAACTCAAGGGCTATACAAGTAATGGTTATTCTTTTATCTTGTTTTAAAATCTCAGAAGCACAAATAAGTTATGTGTATTTTAATGGATTAGCTGTGTGTGATGTTTACTTAATATTGTCAAAAGTATATAAATATACATATGTAGAGGTGTGCATATAGATATGCAAGTATACAGTACAATTATTGGGTCAAATATCTTGTGAAATAAGAGATTTAGTTAAGTTAATAAGTAAATGAATAAATAAAAACATAAACAAAAAAGCAAATAAATAGCAAAGGAAAAGAAAATACTTTACCAGAAAAAGAAATACGTTTCACAAGTGAAGGCTTATAGAGGGCATAGTGATAGTTAAGTTGATACATTTCAAATGAGCTCATGCCCGGTGGGCTTTCCCTAAGAATGCTAGAATGAGTGTATAAAAATTTTGATACTTTTCAGTCTGATTCACTGGACTTTGATACCCACTCACGTCACTGGGTGGTGGTGGGAGGGGCAGTGAGTTCCTTAGAGAAACTGTGTTGTTTAGATGTCAGACAGACCTGAGTTCAAGTTCTGCTTTCATCATTTCCCAACTCCTTGACCTTAAGTAGGTTAACTTGAATCACTTTTCATTTTTCCTCAAAACAGTAATAACATTAAATTAGTAAAATGTGAGGGTCAAGTGGGACATGCTTGTATCACCTAGTAAGTATGAAACACAGTGCATCAATGTGTTTTTTCCAGACAATGTCAGTACCTCAAATAGAAGTATGTTCTCAAAAACTATGTGTTGAATGCATGGCTGATTGAATAATAATCACATGCAAATTAAATCCTAACACTATTAACAGAGAGTGACTATTTCCTACAATCTCCCTGATTGAAAAACATATTTGCATGCATATATATATGAGAGATGAGGTCTGTCCAAAAAGTATCCATCCATGCAATATGAAAAATATAAATTTATTGAAGAAGGTACAAGATATAAAAAATGCTGTATCTAAGACAGTGACACCTCATTCCCCTTCAAAGTAGGTACCTTGCGATCTCACACAGTTGTTCCAATAGCCTTAGCTACCCCATCATATTTTCCAGAATCTCATCAATGATCTGAAATCTCTTCCCTTTCAAAGGTGATTTTACTTTGGGGGAGAGCCAGAAGTCACAGGGTGCCAAAATATCAGCTACAGGGGAGCTGAGTCACCTTGGTGATTTGATGTTTCACAAAAAACCTTTGCAGAAGATATGATTCATGAGTGGGTACATTGTGATGAAGTTGCCAATCACCATTTGCCCATAGCTGGGAATTGCTGAATCATCTGAATAGTTTCTGTAGAGGAATGTTCAAGCTTAATGTAAAATTTGATGCATATTTGTTGCTCTGCTTGCTCAGTCCCTTTGAATGGGATGACAACCCAGTACACATGCTCACTTGATGGCAGCATCCACTGCCCCCACAGTGAAGTCATCATTGTTCACACATATGCATTACAGTCCACTTTCCTTGGCTGCCAGTTTACATCCACATCACACAAACCATACTCATTATATTAACATTGGTTGAACTTTTTCCAGACAGACTTTGTACATAGTGTTTCTATTTCAATCATACTCCAAGTTCTGATGATTATCATTGAAAATTTTTTAATAGGATGTATTCAAAATACTTTGTTGGGATGGTTCCCTACTCATCTTGATTCAGGGTACTTTTAGTGTCGTTTCCTTCTGAAGGAGCATCCTCCTGTAAGCCCTGCTTTTCCTCCTAGAGGCTGACAGAGGACAGTAGAGCCACCAGCACAGAAAACTATCATTTGTACATGGTTAAACATGGGGGTGATTTTAGAGCATCTTGGGCACTTCACATCTGTGAAGTAGAAATTGTGATTCTGCACTAGGAGCTTCCTGTGTTTCCTCTTCTCTTCTGGAGAGGGATGAAGGAGGAAATTTAACAGAAAAAAAAGTCACTAGCCATCCTAGCAAAAGCCATGGGGAGGTCTTCACTGTCGGAAAGTATCATTGTGTAAATTGTGTTCTAAAGGGTAACAGTCTTTACACTCAAAACAGGCAGCAAAGCAACTTTGTTTTTCACATAATTATTTTAAATTGTGTTTATAATTTAATAAGACAATAAGGATTAATAAATCAATACATGTAAAATGGCTACAATCCCAGAACTACTTTAATCATTTCACCTTCCTTCAGAAATAAATGCTTTCCTAGATTAGTCAAGTAAAATATGTGCATGTGTTTGTATTTCTCTCTTTGTAGAAAAGACATGAGAAGACATAATAAGTGTTAGTATAAAGCATTTTTCCTTCTAAAGACCAAAGTTTCTCTCAGTCCACTGTGGTATGGGGGAATGTTATCTTCCCAACCCTGATTTCCGGTACTGGTTATTGCAATTCGGTTACACTTGACTCTGGGAGGAGGGTCTTCGACTGCTAGGGAGCTCAGTAGCACTCTCTGACATCACCTTCCTCAATTCGTAATTAAGTCATGTATCTTTATTTTTCAAAAGGTTTTCAAAAATTTCAGAAATTAATGAAAGCCCCTAAGTATGTATCTCAAATAGGCTTCCTGAAAAGTGGCCCTCCACCTAGGCATTGTTATGCTGGAATGCTCTAAATGGCAAGTTATCAAACAGAAGGTGCTCTTAATTTTATCAGCACTCTGAAGGCTGTTGATAGTAAATGGCACAAATTTGGTCAGTGTGGTCCTTTTGGTAATGCATCTTCACATCTTTTTAAATGCTAATTATATTTTTGACCTTAAAGAAAGGAGCAATACATATTTTCTAACTTTCCTTTTCCTCCACTTGACCCAGGCTCACATTAACTCCCTGATTTCTTCTACTCTGGCTCTCAGGCACCCTAATTTTTGCCTTTGTGCACTTACCTGAGGACATCACATTAACACTGTAATTTTGTAGTGGGTTGTTTATGCATATGCATTTAAGGTCAACCATTTCTGATTACAAAGATGATTTTGGACAGAGAGGTGATCCAGAGTTATGCTGATGTTAGCTTTCACAGCTATAAAGAAAATTGGTTGGATAATGATGAAGACATTTCCAGGAGTTTTCTAGAATGCAATAACTTTCTCTCTGAAACAGTCAGTGTTTCAGATTGCTTAATTTTGCCCATTCAAGGAGGTAGCCAGAATAGACAAGGAAAGACATTGGGAGGTCTCTTCTATTGTTTAACTTCATAGAGTAAATCTTACACACAGTCAGGGGTTCAGCTCTGGCTTTTCTTAGAATCCCCTATGTGTCCACAATGGTGAGCATTTAAAATGCATGGGAATCATAAAAACATATGACAGATTGATGGTTAATAACTTTTTTCCTGTTAAATTTTGCTGAGCTTCCAAGGGGGCAGTTCAACTGTTATTGAAATTAACAGGGTTTAAGATTTGGGTTCTTTGGAATATATCTGCAGTAGTCAGCTGGTACTATTGTGTGATTCTGTAGCACACAGACAATATCAGGGGGTAATTTATTGGTATAGAAAAAAATAACAATCACACACTTTCATTTCCTAATTGAAAGTCTAAGAAAAATGGGATATTGTAAAATGATGGAGTGTATAATAACAAGTTTAAAGAACATTTGAGTCTTTGCTTTAAGAGGAGTAAGTGGTTTAGAAGCATCTTACCAATGTTTGGTTTTCCTCAGACCAATAAACAAAAAAACACTGAAGAACAGGAAATGTCAGGTTAGCTAAAGCCTCTGGGCTTGGAGGAGAAAAACAGTCTGTTCAACACCTAATTTAAATTTCTCTTCCTTAGCATTCTAGGAAGGTTTATATAGACACTTCCTATTATGGACTCTTTTCTGAGGATGGTTATTTAATCATTTTCCTTCCTCCAACAGCCATATATTCTTCAGAATACATTGTCCCAGCTTATTTCATCTTTTATATATCCTATATTTGTATTCACATTTTTCTATTTTTCAGGCTTAAATACGTTATGTGTTTCTCTCTGCAAATCGATGGGCCTTTCTATGAGGATAACTGAAGGTAGACTAATACCTATAAACTACCATATCTTAATAGGCATTGTTGCTAAGTTTTCTACTGTCAAATTAAAAGTAAAATAAATAACAGGTCCATTAAATAAAAGTCAGAGTTGGTCTTTCTCTCACAGAGAGTCCTCTATGTATTGTGCATATATATAGATATCTCTTTGAAATACACCTACCTATAACATTTAAATAGTGTGCATAAATGCTATTGCTCACCAAGTGTATTTAAATTTGAGAGTTTTGGCTTAAATTGAATGTATGGCCTTAGAAAGAAGGGTGCTATTTAAATTGATATCAAGTTTCCAACTTGAGACACTGGGCACATGACAACTGCCATCCCCTGAGAGCAACTGTGGGAGGCAACTTGCTTATGAGTGGGAGGTGAAGTTCAACTTGGTGAATTGAAGTTAATGTTCTTGTGCAATTTCCACGTGAAAATATGTAGTATGTCATTGGGTGTGATTCTGAAACTAAGGCTAGTGTTTCTGAGCTGGAATGATATATTTGAAAGTTATCAACTGTAGGAGCCCAGGAGGCCTGAGAGGGGTCGAGGATAGGGTCCTGCACCGCAGATGTGGTGACCGGACCTGGTTTCCGGCCTCGGGGCTGTCTTGGGTTGTGACTGTTCTCTGACCCCTTGAGAAACTAGCTGCCTCTCCTTACCCATTAACTCATATCCTTGACATGTGCGTCATGTACCCGGAAGATATGTTAGCTTGGGAACATCCTGACCCTGAAGGGAAGAGATAAACTTTATGGGTCAGGGAAGTGAGCTACGTGCCAGAGGGTTGCTCCTTTGTTCTCTGTGTACTCAAGATTGTATTTAAGCTTGAGAGCTGCTCAATAAACTTGCCTTATGCCAGCAGAGCATTTGGTCCTCTCCTTTATTTCGACCCTCGCTCAGCCTCACGCCCACCCTTGCTGCAGCAGGCTGCGACAATCAACTCCCATGAAGGTTGATGGGACAACTCAAGAATAGTAAGAGACTAAGAGGGGAGAGAAAAACAAATAGCACACAGTGTGACAAAAATCAAGATGGTAGAGAACTTTAAGCAAGGGATGATTGACAGTATAAGGTATAGAAGCAATGTCTCATAGAATTAGGATAGAAAAAAAGCAGGCTGGAAAATTAAGAATGTCTTTGTGTCTCTAGTGATAGCCATTTTACATGAGTAGAAGAGAAAGAAGTTGGCCTGTTAATTGGGCTTTAAGTTGAGTAAAGTTTCAAAGACTTTAGACTATTTAATTTTTCGTGCTTGAAGTTGGCCTTCATGTTGTCTCTGGAATATCAAACTTATAATAAATATTGCTACATTGACTTAGGAAAATTTACTAAAGTTTCAATTCTAAAACACCAAAGTTATATACAGACAGTCCCTGACTTAAGGTGGTTCAACTTAAGATTTTTTCACTTTGTGGTATTGAAAAAGCAATACACATTCAGTAGAAACTGAACTTTGAATTTCAAATTTTTATCTTTTCCTGTTAGTGATATGCAGTATGATTCTCTCTGGTGATGCTGGGCAGCAGCAGTGAGCCACAATTCACAGCTGGCCAGGCTATTACAAGAGTAGACAACTGATACTATACAGGATACTGTGTTACCAGTGTCTTTTGGATATTGTGTCCTGTGCACCTTTACCATAGCTAGGCTAAGTTATGATGTTTGTTGGATAAAGTGTATTAAGTGCATTTTTGACTAACAATAATTTCTGTTAACAATGGAAACTTGGAGATGTAATTGGGATATAACCCAATTGTAAGTCAAGGAGCGCCTGTATCTTAAATTCCTAGTTATGCCTAGATAACATGAAAGTGGAAAATAGAAGTTCTACCATATGAATTTAATAAATCAGTGGTTGTAGGAATATAAGAGGATACTGTGTACATAAGCTTCCTATTCAGATTTTAACCTTAGTGTAACCTCCTCAGAGAGGGCATCATTGATATCTCATTTTAAAATAGATTCTCAAAAACTCCCATCATATTATTCCATTTTTACATAGCATCTAACATCTGATTTTTTAAAAAATCGATTTCTCTACCCACCCATAATAAAATAAGATAAAAAAGAAGAAGCTATGACTATCGACCCCAGCTATGTCTTTGACGTTATGAATAGTTCTTGTAGAAACATTGAAAAGTGAGATATCAAAGACTATATGTTGTCAATAAATGGAGATAGGGTCTCCAACCTAAAATTTATAGAATTAGAATCTGATTTGATATCAATAATATAATAATCATAGCAAATTGAATGACAGCAGTGTGGCAGAAACTGTACTAAATACCTATTGAATCCTCCCCATAGCAATCAATTAAGATAAGCATTAATTTGTTCTTCTTAACAGTAAAAACACTTGAGGCTTAGAATAAATAAATATTTTATCCAATAATAAAGAGCCATTAAGTAATAGAACTTGGATTTAAACTCAGATTTGCCTGACTCTGTGCATTAGAACTTTCCATTGAAATGTTGTCACCAGTATTATGTCATAGCTACAGGTACACTAAACTGAGGATGGACACACAAAAGCTTCCACATAAAAGTATATTACTCTGTAAATACAATGATAATGAGTTACTTCCTAAATTTCATATTTGTTCCATATATGGCAAGGTGTAGAAACAGATCATCAAAACATTTGATAAGTCATAATAAATAATTAAGTATAATGTTTATTATGAAAATAAATAAATATGATACTGTAGCTATTGTGTTAAGTGCTATATATATTAACTAATTTAATCATCACAACAACTTTAAGAAATAAATATATATTCTCTATTTTACAAGGAGGATAAAGAAGTTAAATAGCTACCCCATGTCACATGCATATTAAATAAAACCAGAATTGGAAACCAAAAAGGTTGCTGCCTGAGTCCCTCAAGTAACTCAGGCCAATCAAACAA